TTAGTCATATACGTTACATTGATTATATTTTTTGAATCTTAAATATAGTATTTTTAAATTAGATTGCACAATTCATATTTTCTTAAAAAAGTCAAGATTTGAAATGTGGTGTCTGCATTTGGCCGAGGGTTGCGTCTAAGGTGGTTGGGATGTTCAGGTGATGGAGTTCCTCTGTGTATTGACGACATTCTGTGAAGATATTGTGGATTGTTAGTTCAGTACCACAGGTATTTATTATATTATTATCAGTAAAAACATTCACTTATATTTTTCGAAATATTTCAGACAGCAGTGGAGATGAAATTCACAATATTTTGTCATATGGTATGTTGTTTACTGTAGTATATACTATTTTACTAGTTACCATAGTATAGTATGGAACTATTGATACGGAAATAATATATTTTAATGTTTAAAAATACTAATCGTCAATACCAGGGTCGAAAACGTCACAATGATGCACGTGTACGTAGTTCATTTTAAAAATAAATTATCAATTACTTACACTAAAATATTCTATTCGGACGACACTGCTGGTGGTAAAAAATACATACAATATTCTAACCCACATAACATTTTCCAATGTTAAAACTTCTATAAATATTGAAGTTTAGTCGAATTCGAAATGTTCGAAAAATAAGGTTCATTAATACTAGATTAAGTGTTTATTTTTAAACGTTTTCATTAAAGTAAATTCTTAATGCTATATAAACACTTGATTTAGGTTAAATTTTAAATATTAAAAAGTTAACTCGTATTAAATGCTGAATAAACTTACAATAACTAACATTTAAATAGAGTATCATATATAAAGTTTATTAAACCTAAATGTATAAACATTAATATTAGGTTACCAAGTTAACACTTTGCATACATTGAATTTAAATTGAATTGTAAATATGTTTATTTAAGTATTTATTTAATACTTAATAAAAATTCGTCCACATATACGCATTATATATATAATAATATATTATATTATATATATATAGCTATTATAATATTATTATTATAATATATATTTTGGGTGTCGCATTTTAGTATTTTACTATAAATAAATAATATAATTCGTTGGGTATCCTGCAGTATATATATTTGAATTCGACATTCGTGCATGATATACAACGGTTATCGCTCAGAGCTATTATATTTATATTATAATATGATATGAAAATTAACTTATAATAGTTATATAGTTAATCGCCAAAATATAATATAATGAACATATAATAATATAGTTGTTGCTCGAAGCGTCTACCGCCGTGGCTAAAGATAAGACTATCGTGGCCGACGACGCGATTCCTAAAAATAACACATTTATGAAAGATGCGCCTGTCTCTATAATAAAACAATATTCACTTTCGCAGTACAACGATTATGAAATGTAAGTTCAATTATTTAGCACTATATTTGAACAGAAATTATATCAGATTTAATTCAAAGACTCATAATAGGTAGGCAGGTAGCTATAAAATATCATCACAATCTTTAGAGTCGTTTTTATTATACCTACTCAGGTATTTTTACATAGAATTTGGCGGAGTGTTTTTGTTGGTATTCATAACTTTAATTAAATTATTACTGTTACTATTATTTATAAATAATAAATTGTCAAATTCACGATCGATTCAAATCTAGTGTTACATCCAAAATTAAAGTTATCATTATCAACTGGGTGATTAATTATTTATTGACTTGTATTGTATTATTGTTTTTAAAGGTAAAATGCGTTGAAGTAGGTTGAGCGTTGAGCTATATTTGATTGTAATTTGTATGTTATACATATCCAAATGTAACATAATAAATATAGGTATACCTATATTGTTATAATAATATATAGTATTATGCTGTGCAATAATGCTGTCCAAATAATGACCATCGCACTTACAATATAGTTATATTAATTGATTTTGTTCGTTATCGTATATTTTTTCTGTTATAAAATGTAAAGTTATTTTTTAGTAGAAGAAAGAGGTTTTTATTTAAACAGATAAAATATGTTGGTACCTATTTTATTTCTAATATTCAAAAAGTCACAAGTATAAAATATTTAATTAATGACTAAAATAAGTTAATCAACAAAGAATACAAATAATAATGTTATACCTAACTTATTATAACCATTAAACGAATAAGAATTAAAATATGGTAGTAATATTATATTATATTATAGCTTATGATCTTTGTACAGTTATTAAAATAATTAGTATTTTATATACTTTTATAGTTGTATACAATATGAATATAACTTATTATATATTATATAATACAATATAATAATATTTTATAAGCTAAGATAATCAAATACGTGTAGAAAAAAATGAAAATATAATATAAGTATATTCATAATATTAATTTACAGGTACAAAAAATAAACAAAATAACAAAACTAAAAACACCTAATTACATAATTGTATTTCGTATTCGTAATATTTATAATAATATGAATATAAAAACTACAAAAATTATAAATTATAGATAGATATCTGGATAGATACTATAATTCTATTATATATTTTAGAATAATATCATATAATATATACTTATTACTTATATAATATATTACATTGATATGTGTGAAATTCCAAAAATTTAGATGGATTTCTAGTTAAAAAAAATTACATTATGTATGGCGCTTGTTTTAAATTCTATATGTGTGGAGAAGTGGAAAAGCTACGGTTTTATTATTATAATTCACTTTTAGGATCATACACTTACACTTAATATTATCTACAGACCAACTTTTTAAATTATTATTTAAATTGTTAACAGTAAAAATGTCCAATTTAGAACTGTCTATAGGTTTTTTAAAGAACGGTTCTTTTGTTTCAAAACAATACCCTAAAATAAAACCTTTGTTGGATATTTGACTTACTATATTTACAACTTTTACAATATTACCGTCGGTCATAAGTAGATAATTATCAGCTTCACGGTGAATCCGAATTTCAGTGTCATGAAAAATAAGTATTTTATATTGATGATTTAAGTAATTGTTTAACTCTGTTGATAATGGCCCTTCGGAATGTTTATTTTTAAAGGTGAAATTTATTAAATTTGGTTCAGTTGTGATTGATTTTAAACTATAAGATATGGATTCATTATAACGTTTAACCGCTTGTTGTAAGGGTTGGTTACTTTTTCGAACATACTTTTTAAGTACCTTCATGTGATTTTCGAATGGAAACGCACTGCAGTTATCAAATGAACCGAAGCGAGAATAATCATCGCTTAAGTGCTGCAGTGCATGTACATTGTGTGATACCCATTCGCGACCATAAATAGAAATAAAATTATTAATAAAATAATATAATAGTTTTTTACTGAACTTTAATAAATTATTACTAACGTTTGATTTAAGTAATATGAAAATACTAACATGTAAACACATAAAATTTAAGTAACATTTTTCGTTTATTTTATTTTTAAGTACTACGGGTCCTAAATATAACAAAAAAGTTCGAAACTCAGTAGCTTTCCACTTCGGAAGTTCATCGACCCCACGCGGTTTCCGATGAAAGTCAATAGGTATAACATTTTTAAGACCAATTAAACTATTGCTCAAAAATTTACATTTAGCACTATTTAAACGAATTTTTAAGGGACCTTTTAACCATAAGTTAATAAGTTTTTTTGTTACTCCTAAACATATTAGGTGCATATAGTCTAACGAAAATACGTTTATAATATCAATTCCTGGAATACAAGTTAGAATAGATAAATCGGCGCCAATATGGTGTTCTTCTTGTTGTTTTTGTACAAAATGTTCGTGGGTCCTTTTATGGCAATTTAGATCAGGAAAACAAACGCGTTTCTTGAAATATTCACCTTCTGTACAACAACGGAAACACGAAAAAAAACCACTATGCCCCTTTGTTTTTAAAATAAATGACTTAGCTGGCACGTCACAGCAAATTGTATCTATGACAACTGATTTATTACGGATATCGCATGATTTATTTTTAATTTGGATACCATTTGTTATTATATTAACAACCTCATCATAAAACTCTCGTAAAAAATCGTTTGAATCGGTTGGTTTGTCGTACCCCCAATAAATTCCGATTGGAAAGACAATTTTAGAAAAAGGCCGTATGTAGCATAGAATTGGCCAAAATGTGCTTTTTGAGCTCCTTGTTAATGGTAACCCGTCGATTCCAATGACTAATTCAATTATATTTTCTTCTTTTTCAATATAATGGTTTTTAATGCCATTAGCAATCCCAAAATGGTAATATTTACCTGGTACTACATCTTTTATGGGAATATTTATAGTTGAAACATCAGTTTTAAGTAAAGTCCGACTGTCGATTGGTAATGATGAGTCATAGCAACTTTTTAAAATTTTTAATAGATCAGAAGTTGCGACGTTTGATATGTTATGTTTTATAGCCCACTGGGCAAGTTGAGTTGTAGGTGAAATATCAATTAGGTCAGTACAAAATTCTTTAGCTGAACTATCTGCAGACTCAACAAGGCCATCATCTTCATTAATAATATCAACAATATTAATAGATATCTTCTCCTTGGTCAATGTAGTCAAGCAACTCGGAATTCCTGTTATCAATATTATATATGGTATATATTATTATGTTATCACATGGGCCATAAGTCAAAAATAAACAAATGTATACTCAGGACACTTATAATATAATAATTTATTATAAAACATAATAGTTTAATATGGAAATCTCCTAGTTATTATTAAAAGTTGTCCCTGTGATCGTTACTTAATTTAAAATTTGAAATCTTTACAGGACGTGAAGTGCGAAGCCTTAAATCATGGCCGCCACGGAGTACTGAGTAGCATATTAGCGATATCGATATCAATTACGAATCTAGGACGTTCCCCCCCCCCTCCACCGAACGGGACAATTTCCCCCCGGACAAAAAATTAAAAGTAAAAATACTAAATAATAATATACAATGCAAATCAATAAATACCTATACTGTACTAATGTTTATGAAAGTTTTTATTAAATAATTGTTAAATTAATATAATTTAAAATATACATAATAATTAATAAATACTATTATATCACTTTAAAAAATATATATTGATTCGGGGGGTATAATGTCTCAGTCCAAGGGGGAAACATCCAAATACCATTAATTACACCTCATAAGTTTTTACTTATTATAGTAATAATACATATATATATTATTATTGTGTAAGTTAATACCTTCTAATAGTTGATTTTGTTCTTCAACAACTGACTTCCCAACATTCTTATAAACGGAATGTAGCTCACTGTCTTTATCAACTGGGTCTGAAGTATTAAATTGCATTAATTGTTCTTCTTCTAATTCATCAGTGACTGTATCAAAACTAGGTAAAATCTCATCAATTTCTTGGAGAACCCGCCTTCTTTTGGTTGACTTACTCAATTTATTATTCATATTAAGTGAATAAAAAACTATACAAAAATTATAATAATACTTACTATAAATTTACAACCGCGCGTCATTCGAGATATTGACGGGTTGTACAGATTAGGTGTACGTACTACGTGTACTCGTGAATATTATCATATTCAATATTACGGCATTGCGCTATGGCAGTTGCCAGTTATCGATGTACCTAACCTAACAATTGTATTATTGTTTGAATATAATAGTATAATTCTGTTATAATATAATTCTGTATAATACCATAATAATATAAGCATTGAAGAATAAGGAAGCGACAATAATTGATCAGTTTATCGGGTTTATATTTACCATAGACCTTATACTAAGTATAACTAACTACCTTAGTATAAGGTCTATGATATTTACCAACAATTTTATGATGTTATAGACCCTTCTTTACGAGTATTCAGATATAATTATATAAAGTCTATGGTAATAATAATCATAGACAAGTATATAAAATATAATAATAATAATAATATTATTATTATAACAGTTAGCAGCTGATATTCAGAATAATAAATATAAATACGATATCGGAACGTCCCGCCACCGGGTGACCAGTAAAAATAATTCTAATTTCTAATGTTATACGCTGAGCCGGCAGTCGCTCAGGGAATTCCAAATTCGTTATCGACAATTAATCGTTTGAACTATAATGAAAAATCGCAACGGCGAAATCGACGTTGACGCGTTGTACTATATTGTTATCTTAGCTAATATAACCTTAATTTATTGTTCCTCGACCATCGTATTCGAGTGTTGTATACTATTTCTCCGTTTTTAGTTTTTACTTTTTAGTGTTCACCTAGTGAAAAGTGAGTGCTGACTCGCAGTTTTTGGCTTTTTGAAAATATATTATATCTAGGTACCTACGCCGCCAGTATCTTTAATCTTGTTTAGTTGTTTACAAGATTTTTTTTTTGTATAATTTATAAATAAAATAGTTGCACCCACTGCCAAACAGCATTTTCACTGGTTTTGTAAGTACCTATACAATATACACCTACAATAAAATAATAATTTTATATTTCACAATATTATAATATGGTTCCAGATTTTATTCAAAATATTTTAACAAAAATAATTTTGTATTATTAATTATATACTTTCAAACCTTTAACCTACCATTATGTGGTTAGTAGTTAATTTTTCATTGGACGACACAGTGGAAGTGGTTCCTCAAAAATGGTTGAATATTAGAAGAGGGGTTTGTGCATGGCCAAAATGTACTAAAAAAATGGATGTCGAAAAGGCAATAAAAAATAAAATAAATGCAAATAAAAATGAATTTTATTTTTTTGAAGCTCGTGCTTTGTCCAGTGTAATTGGTAAGTACCTATAATATTTTAAATTCATTCTTCATTGTTTTATGATTTTGTATGTTTAGTAGTTAATAGTTATAATATATACTTGGTAATTATAGTAATTTTTGTTCATATTTTAGACAGTTATAAAAAAGCTATCAGAAAATGCAACATTGCAAAATCTAAATCTGATCTGTCGTCGAGTGCTGAAGAACCTGCATTTAAAAAGAAAATGCGAAAACAACGAAAAGCATCAATTTCTGAGTCAAATTCTGGTAAATATAAATAGGTAGCTATTATTTTACTTACAGTTGAGGTAACTAATTACCAGGCACCTGCCTTTAATAATAAGTTTCTACTAGAAAAATCTGTATTTTTACATACTCTTATTTTACTTGTTAAGTATAGTTTATATATAATTTACCATATCTTTTTTAGCTTTATTAAAATTAGTAGGTATAAGGTATTAGTAAAACTTATTTTGGAGTATCTACCTTATACCCTAAATCTTAAAATTGTATTAATTAAAATTAAAATTATAAAATAATTATAAATGTATAATAATTACCCTGTAAACTTAGGTATATATCACATAAGTATTTTTAAGTTAGAATTTTCTTTTTAAGGATAAAATTAAATTTTTACTTGAACTTTAAATTATGCCATACCTCCCTACCTATAAAACTAAAATACAAGCAAAATAATTTTATATGTATATTTATTACTTATATAGTAATTAATTTTTGATTTTTTTCCTATTTAAATTAAATGCATAAGACTAGGGCAGTTATTCTTTTAATAGGTAACTTATAAAATAACTAATTAAAAAATATAATAATAATTATAACTTATTTAATAACTTTTAATATTTAGAAATTATTTCTAACTACACTAAGTCAATCGTTGTGTTTCATTTGTTTCAGATGGGGAAATTTCCGATACATCACTTATAGCTGATAGTTTACCATCATGTTCAACAGGTAATTAATGATTTATATTTGTTATTAACATAATGCGCAACTATGTTTTGAACTTATTGGTGTGTTTATGGGGGGGGGGGGGGAGAGGTAGCTTTTTAGGGTAGGTTTATATGTACATAAAATTAAATGTAGGTACACATATCAGGGGTTCGTAACAGTATAAACACTATACAAATATGTTAACAATAATTTACTTAGTAACATAATATAGCACGCACTTCTTTCAACATAATAAAAAAGTAGACTCTATCAATAAAATTCTACATTACATATTATGTTCTAAATTAATTTTTGATTCAACACTATTTCATATGTCTCTTTGAATATGTAAAATGGAAATATGCATCTATTCCTAATTCCTGAAAGTATTGATTACTATATCGAGAGGTAACTAGATGAGAGTTAGGAGGTACTAAAAACAGTAAAAACTATATTTTCAGATTATTATTCATGTAAATTTCTTAATTCAATATGATTTTATGCAGATGATGAACTTGACATTAGAAAAACAATTCAAGAATCTTCTAAAAATAGTAGTAAATGTGAAGATATGGCTGAGAAAAAAACGATAAATGGATGGTCCCCTTTAAAAACTTCTGTTGACTCTTCATTTGGTAATTATAGTACATTAGTTTTTTTAATATGTCTTGTAGCTATACAATGTAAAGTACACAGAAACTATCTATTGTTTATGTTTTAATTAAAATATTTATTGTATTTTTATAGTAACACCTGCATCTATACATGGTTTAGTAAATAATGAAATGACTGACTCATCTGAACTAATCGACAACATTGGTTTTACGTCTGGTAGTGTTTATCATGATATATTTACCAGTGTAACATAATTAATATAAATCAATAATACTATTTAAATTGTTTAAACAGATAAAACTTTGACTACCAGCACAGCAGCTAAAGACAACTCCCATTCATCATCTGGTATTTATTTCCTATAGTTTATTTATTATTATAAATTAATTGTTTTTTTTAAAAATATATTTGTTTAAGGAGTTAACCGAAGATTAATATATTCAGAATTGGATACTTCTCAAACTACAAATAAGAGCCCAATTATATCATCTGCAAAAACTTCATTATTTGGTTGGTTTATTTTTTTATTGTATATTGTATTAAATCTAATATCTTCCATAGTTACATATAGTTTATTCAATTTTTATTTTATTCAATACTTGAACTTAAATTATATTTTAACCTCAATAAGCTTGATAAGTCTAAAATTTAGACTCTACATAAATGTCAGTCTCTTGAATTTCGACTTATCGAGGTTCTACTGCAGGGGTGTCCAACCCACGGCCCTCACTTCAATTAAAAAAAACATTAAGTAATTGTATATAATATATTAAGAATTGCAACAACTTCAATAAATCCGGATATTGATTCATTACTTTCACAAAAAAAGCAATTTCAAATTTCACATTAGTTTTATTTTTTTTTATTATTATTATAAATAAATACAGTTTTCAGTGTAATTATAATTAAATATTAATACTTGTAAAATATTTCTGCTTATTCGCTATAGTAAAATTATAAAAAAATGTATTGTTGTAATATAGAATGAAATGTATTTATCAAATTTGAATCTATTAAAAAAGTATTTGGCCCACAACAACATCTATGATGTATATGATGTGGCCCAGTATTCACAAAACGTTGGACACCCCTGTTTTACTGCATTTAGGTAATTTCCTAGACATTTATTGCAAACAGCTTATTATATTATAGTACCAGTAATCTCAAGCATGTTCAACTACAAAAATGTGTCAATTTATAATGTATTCCATTCTATCCCAAGTCTTAAAAAAATCGATACAGTTCCATAATAATTAAGTTTAATTTTATTATACTGTATTATGCCAAATAAAAAAGCTAAACTAATTCAGCAATTTTTGATATTTATAATAACTAAATTTTTGATGGTTTATTAAACAATTTTTATGTTATTATAATTTATAGATGACAGTTCAGTTCAGTTCAGTTCAGTTTCAATAGTAAATAGCCCATCTATGAAGATAAAAACTGTTAAAAAAGGTAACAATATATATTATATAATAATGCATGTAAATAATTGAAATTAGGTATTTTGGTCTATATATTCTTATGATTAAATTGAAATTTCATTTTAAATGTGTGTTTAAGACAACGATATTATTGGAAAACTATTTAAGTTACCTTCCTCAAATTTTAAACAACAATGAACTTCAGTAGGATAATTATTTTAAGGCATACACAATAAGATAGCTACATTTATATTAGTTATTATTGCAGTATCTTACACAACTAGATGTTTAAGACATATTTACTTACATTTTTTTAACAGATGATCAGTATACAAAATTACTTAACTATATTATAACAATGAAGTACGAAATACGTTCAGTTCATGAGAAATTAGACATACTGATACAAAGCAGTGAAGATTATTCGATGACGAAGACAAGAGAACCAGGCGTTTATGATACATTATGTGTTATAGATAGTAGATTACCTATCGAAAATGAAGAAAAACTAGAAACATTTGAAAATATTTTATTGAATGATAAATGTTTTCGTAATCAGTTGGTATGTCATATACATATAACATAATAACATTTCTTTACAATATATGTTAGAATTAATTATGTTAAATTATTACTGACACAGGTTCTACGTTTATCATCGGTTGGTGGGAAGTCCATTAAATGTATGGTAAAACGAATTATGACTTTGCTATTTACACCCGAAATATTATGTAAATTTTCTTATAATGGCCGCGGAAATAAAAAACGAGCTTTTGAAAAGTTGCTAGTTAAAAATGTTATATTTGGTAAGAAACTTACATTATTACAGTTTTAGTTTTTATTTCTAATGAATTTTTTAATTTTTAGATTCCATAAAAAACATAAAAAAATTTGCCTTGTCTGACAATTCATCCAATGAAATAGAGCAAGTAATTAAATATGTTCTAATTCAGACTCCATTCAAAATAAAAAATAAAACAAGTGGTTGATTTTTTTTTTTAAATGTTGGTTTTATTGTTATACATCACATTATATTATGTTATTATAACTATTTTTAACAATTACATTCTTCCTTCATACTAGGTATTAAAAAATATATAGGTATCTGGTATATATAAATATACCCCGTAAAAAAATTTAAAAATATTATCATTACTGTTCTCAGATCTTTTTTTTTTACAATTTGCATATGTTATAAAATTTTAAGATTTTGATTTTGTCTTTTGTATTATTATGACACAACTAATTAACATTATTTGTGTAATAAGTAATAACAATTTGCATAATTTTGCTTTTAATAATAATATTCATTATATTATATTTTACTGATATACAATATACAATAAATTTGTAATAGATATTTTTTTTATTATACTTTTTAAGTTTTATAATTTGTATGTATTCAATCTGTGTGTTTCTAAGTAATAAACAGACAAAATATGGTGACCTTATATCTAAATATGTACTCTATTATATATAATGATGATTCTTTTTCAAGTAATTTGATACTGTACTAGGTAATTCAGTTAACTTTATATTATTGAAATTCTATATAATATATCCTATATTTAGTTATATAAATAAATAATTTTAGTTCTAATTGAACTAGTTAAATAAAGATTGGATGTAGTTTAATTCATGATTTAGTGTAAAATCAAACTTAATATAATATATAGGTGTCAAAAGATTTAATAATAAATTATTATTATAACGCTGAAAATTAAAGTTAAATGAATCTTAAATATTGATTGGCTTATGATAAAGTTAATGTTGGTTAAATCTTGTATGAACATAATTTAAATCAAGAAATTAGGTTTAATAGATATTTACTTAACAACGTACAGATAATGTTGTGGATTAAGTGTTCATTCAATCTATTTTTTTGGTTCAAATGAGATTTATGCAAGGTACATTCAACACTTAAACGATCCTAATTCAATCAAAACCAAATATTTATTTAACTATGAACATCAGAATTTCAATGCTCATGAAATGTTAAATATAACTTTGTATGTTA